AATAGCATTCCCCAAGGAGACTTGACTGGACCCGGCTATGTTTTCCCCAGGAGGCCTTGCCAGAAGCACGAAATCTCGCCTCTGAACATAGCCTTATCTGAGCTTAGGAAAAAAACAATCCTCTTTTTCTTTACCCTTTGAAATATAATTGTAAGCATTGTAAAAAGCCAGATCGTATCAATCGTAAAGCGATTACTGTTATCCGTCTATCAAATATGTATGAAAGGCTCCCTTCATCTTCAGCAAACACTCAGTCAGACGTCCACTTCAACTAAAACGGCTCAGATTGGCTGCTAAACTGTTCAGATGGATATTAGCATTCTCTTTAGTCTTGCAGATCTGCCTCTCGTCCGAACTTTGTTCCAGCGCACTTTTTTGATTCCTGTGCCGAGAAGTCCATTTTATTTGAAAACGTGCCTTTCTTCTGTACTGGACTCTACGCTGTTATGAGCACAACTGTCAAGCACTTGGTTTAATTCAGATAGGTACAGCCCACTGGAGAGAGGCCTGGTGTGTACATCAGCTGTAGCGTGTCCACAGCATGGTGGCAGGGATTAGGTGTTTGGTGTCAGGGAGTTTCTGCGTTTACTGAGCATAACTGGAGGATCACTTACTATGTGTATGTATTTGCATGAATGCATGTTTAGCCTAGTGTTGGGTGATATATCCTCTTTACTGGTATCAGGGTTTCCTTTAGCCAGTGAAAACTCTGCAAGTCAGACACAGTGTCCAGTAAAAGTGTTCGAAGTTCTAAATAAAACCCTGAACTACTTCTGTTTAATGGAGGACAGATCTTCGCTCAAGTTCAGGGTGCCTGTACTCCACCACCCTGCGACACACTTAATACAAAAAAGGATCCTGTTTGGTTTAACTTTGTCGCCAACTCATACAACTCTCTATCGAATAGGCCTGTCTTTTGCCTTGATTGTAGGAATATGCTAAAGGAAATAATGTGAAATGTGAGTGTTTAATGGAGCCACTAGTTAGACTAGGCTATGATGTTAAAAAAACTAATTAGCTTGTATGCCTTTGTTCAAACAACTATTGGATATGCTCAGACCTTGTCTATGTAAACTCCTCTCATAATTTTTCAGTGACATGACTAGTAAAGACATTATCCATTGCGATGAAACAAAAATGTGGACTGATGCAGTTTGGCGGGAAAGAGGAGAAATGTTTTTGTTTAAAACTCAAGCTTTCGAGAGGCTGTGAAACTTTGGATACACTTGATTGATATGTTATAAAATAATGTAGCTTTGGCACAAAGTTAATACCAGTATATGACTAGTATTTTACCCAATTGTGCAAACCAAATTATTATCGAACACCATGACTGACACCAAAATTTCCTAGTGGAAACTTTGACCAGTATACTGGTTCTCTTTGGTGTAATTTTAAAAGAAGTAAACAGAACAAAATAGAACAAGCTATGTTAGAACAAGCTATATCAGGTTTATCAGATATTATTTAGCATAGATCACCAGTTTCATTCAGGTAGCATGGCTTCATTAACTTCATTAATGCACACTGAAATATCACCAAATACCATAATACCATGATATATTGGAAAATATTATGATTTTGAACCTTATCAATGCCGCCCAGCACTAGTAGCCCACGATCTGCAATTCATTAAAGTTCCTTCAATCCAACCTGACCTTTCCAAAGAAAGGGAAACTTATCCAGCTCTAGACAGTTAACGCTATCTCATTCAGCTCTCGTGGCTCGCTTTCATCCCTAAAGAGTGTTCGCTATCACTGGCTCGACTCCAACTGAGAAAAAGCATCTCTGGTTTCAGTCCGTCTTTTTGGTCCTAAACTAGCTGCCGCAGGCTCTCTATTGAGCGCAGGGATGAGTGGTGTGGGGGTTTGGTGCCAGCAGTGACTGGGTGACAAGGCTTTGCTCTGCTCCAAGTGGTCGTGTTATTACCTTCTCTCGTCTTGACATGCCGCTTTCCCTACAGAACATAATATATATCTAATGAAGCCCGAGGCTGGCCGAGTCGACTCTCTACTCGCCGTATTCTCCTGCCGGCCTTGCACCTATTTCATCAAGTGCAAGAAAGGGGAGAAATATTGGATTTTTATTAGAGCAGCATGTGAAATCCCTCACTCTCTCGCTAGGCCAGCACAGTTGAATGCTGGATGGGCAGAGAGGGAGAGAGAGAGAGAGTGCGAGTGAGCGAGAGAGCTGGCTGTTCATTCTGCCTCCCTGTTGATGGGCTAAAAAACAAAACACTCCCCTGTAGCGCTTTTGTCCCTACTGAAATATTTACTCCGCATGGTAATTCAGGCTGTTTAACCTCTGTTTTTACATGAGCCTCAGAACAGATAGCACCAGGCGCAACATCCTTTAATCCCTCTACAGTGTCATTCTGTCACATAAACAAAAATAAGTTGAATGCTGTGCTCTGATTATGTCACATGCTAAATGTTGATCAGTCATTTCACTCTGAAGGGCTTTGCATTTGGAACATCGTTGTTGGACGGTAGCAGAGACAGAGGTATTAGTGGCTTATGAAAGCCTTATTGAATAGTGCTACAGTTGCTGTCAGGCAAACGGGTTGGAAACCATTTGTCAGCCGGATCCCATTCTTCCTTCACCGATAAACGCAGTAAATAAAAGTGTCAGCAGATAAACAGGAAGAATCGTCCTGAGAATTGTAAACGTCAGGTCCTCGCGTCGAAGCACATATGGAATGGGCTCGGCATCAGACATCGTAAAGCATTCCCTTTTCCTCTGGAATTGTGTGTTGTAGCTAGTTTTCTTTGAAATTCTTTTTTTGTGAGTTGTTTCGAAAGTCTGCCCAACATGCACCGCCTCATTAAGGATGGTCCACTTGCCAGAAAAACTCATCACAGCACCCACTAAAAATAGCTCCCCCATCAGCATGTACTTTCCACCATCTTATATCGGTGACATGTTGTATTTGAGTTGAAAGTCAAATATGTACCCAAGGAACCAGGGGCACAGTGCAGTGTAGTGCATGCCGAGTAAAAAATATCTCTCTTCCAGCAGGTGTAGCAGACATGGAGAGGAAGCTGTGGACAGATTTATAAGCACCTGAGAGGAAAAGGGCATGGAACGTAAATATTGGATCCCTCCCTGTCATGGGCAATAATCAACACTTAATGACATGGTTGCGGAATATGATTGTGGAGCATTGTTACAGAAGAACCTCTATAGGACTCAGGCTTTTGTCTTGTTCTTCATGCTGTTTTTCTTACTACTGGGGCTGCACAGTAATGGCTAAAATGATGATCACATCAATAAAATCTGATATCTAATGCAGACCCTCTAAAATACAGGCCCTTCTTTTTAGAGAATAAGAGATACAAAATTTAATAGCTTTCACTGAACACTAATGATGGATTACGAATGACAGACTCTAACGCATCTCTGATACTCGTTTGCCAAAATGTTGCAAATTGTTGGAATATAATATTTGGAGTAGGTCTGAGCGATAGGGCGATGTACTCGAATATTGATGATGGACATGTAACTCGATGGCAATGTGTAAAAGGCGATAATTGCCGTTTTTGGTAAAAGAACTGAGAGAATTAGAGCAGACTAATTTACCATTGGACAGCTTGGAAAATACATTGGGAAAGAGAGAGAAAGAGAAAGAGAAGGTTTGTTAAGAAGCTGTGTTATTTCTTTCCGCTACCCACTGTAATATTAGCTTTACCGCACGGATTCCCCTGAATTTACTTTACGTGAAAAAGAAGCTCATGAATGTACGTGTTTGCAGTAACATTTATTATAATGACAGTTGAAGTAGTTCTTAAAAGATGTTGGGTTACTCCTATTATTTAAAATGAGTTTTATTAAAGATTTTCATTAAAACGGTCAAGATTTTAAAAAGCACATAGACTAAAATAGAATAGAAAGTAGGTCAAACCTGCCGCGGACTGTGTGTATCATTTTTTTGGGTGTGGGTAGCGATATTATCGGATTGTAACAGAGGTTTGCGTCCTGTTGGATGACTGTGGTGGTCACAGTCAGATTCCACTGCATTTGATTCCACTTCCATAGTAAAACTGCAATTGGTGCGGACATCTTCCATAATTACAGAACGTTATTTTCAGTGTTTTAGTTGGTCCTTAAATAAAGGCCTTAAATGTGACTGGATTAATTTGAATTTCTTAAAATTTCTTTTTTCTGCGTTGTTGAATAGTGAAGATGTAAACTGTCAATCGGGGTGGTTTGATATGAAATGCTCCATTCAAGAGAAACTTGGTTCACAGTGCTGGTGATAGGAACCAGATGTCTGAAGAGGTTAATACCTCAAAAAACTACATCACAGAAAGCTATTGCATGAACGGTTGTGAATACGCTGCCTGATGCCTGAGACAATGTTTTATGACAGTTTTAGGATGAGATTCTGGCCTGAAACAAATTTTAAGAATACATGCAGAGAGGTGAGGTATGTACAGGACATTGTAAGACAGAATAGTATCAAAAGAAAAGGTAAATTACATATAAAAGTTCAGAAGACACGTGTAGGTTCACTGATTGTTCTGGATGATAAATAAAATAGCTATATTTGCGTTGTAGACATTGTAACCCCCTAATTCCTTTCACTACCACTGTAAAGAAATCTGAATCAATGCACTATTTCACATCAAACCGCTTTGAATGACTGTGTTTGCACATCAATGACTAAATTATGAAGAAATTTGGGAAAAATCATTGGCCACGTTTAAAAGGTTAAAAGGGCCCCCAAGGTCTTAAATATGTAATGGCACTGGATGTGATGACTAATGTATTAATCCACAGTTTATTACACCAAAAAAAAGTGTTAACCTATTTAACCACCTCTGTAGAGGTGCTTATTTCCACACCTAAAGGTTGCCAAGATTCCGTCTGCAGTAATAGGTGTCTTTTGTCTTGTTCCATTGTCTTTTGTCATTATTAGTGTTTATCATTATAGTGTTGATGGTCTTAAATTGCATTACAAGTAATGCTAAAAAGGTCTCATATTCCGTTTCTTCTCACAGATCTCAGGAAAACATTTGACCAGGAGCCTTTAGGGAAGGAGGTGTCTCTTGAACAGGAAGTTCTTCTTCAGTGCCGTCCACCTGAAGGCATACCTGCTGCAGAGGTATGTGATCGTGACTTCACACACTCACTCACGTACGCACACACCGAGACATGCTGAGCAACCCTGCAGCACTCTCCACTGATGAATTTTATATCGAATTAGAGATTAGCTTTTGTTACCAGGGCAGAAGCCAAGCCAAACTCCATGTTAGCTGATGTGCAGATAACTAAATCACTAAACCTAAATGTCAGACTTTGTTTAGAAACATTTGCCTCAGTGGCCACCTGTTAATCTGTATTTAGCTGAACGGGACATATTGATCCAGACATCGATTGTACCTGCAGTGGACTGTCAGACGAACTTGGCCTAACTACACTAGAAAGTTCCAGCTAAACAGGATTAATAGATGAGGGCATTTAGAAGCTTTTTTTCAAAGCTTTCGGGCTTCTTTCAAAAAAAGAAAGAGTGAAAGAAATAATAAGGCAAAAAAGTGGGACAGGGTGCATCTTTACAATGACGACAAAGAAATACAATTTAAAAGCTTCAAGAGCAGCGCTGGCAGGCCGCATTGTGTCCCCTCTTGACTGAAGTAACAATTTGCGGAAAATCCATGCGCTGAGCGTCCTGCAGGCAGGCTTAGCTAACCGAACGGACAGATTTGAGAGGAGGGTTTAAACGTTACAGCTTCAGGCGCTGTTTTTGCCAGCCTCGTAATCATCTTAACATGTGTTAGCACTGTCACCATTAACTTTATCCTATCTATAACCGCCTCTCATCCCCACAAGAATATCTTAAATGCTGGATAAAAGGCTGAACGGGAGCCATAATTCAGAGGAGTGGGTATGTTCAAAATAATGACCTGAGTTAGGGTCCATGAATGTCGTGCGAAGAATATAACACTATATCTTACATTAGGGCTTGTTATGTATTTGATTTAGTCCAAAAAAGCTCTAACAACAAAGTCTTTAATGGAAAATATTGCTGGCTTCAGGCATACTTCAAAAAACTCTGGAGTAGTTTGAACATTTGGCACAGCGCAGATAAGGAGGCTCTTTCAAGCCCCGCTGCTAGTTTTCAAATGTAGGTTTGGATATTTCCTACAGGCTGGCCTGTCTTCAAATGCTTCTGAAAGCGTGCGGAATGGCCACTTGCCTTGCTGTTGCTGCAGGAAAAGTTGTGGATTTCTTTCTTTTTTTTTTTCATAAGTCTGACAGTGGTACAAATAACACCAATATGCTTGCATGAGAAAATTAAACCAATGTAGTGAGTTACGTCTTTATTGACTGATAATAATGTTGAGTCATGGCTCAGATCACCCATTTAAAGATCTCACAATGCAAATACACAAACCTAACTGTAAAACCACTCTCCTTCCTGCTGAAATTAAACTCTACATAACAACTTATATATATGATCTCAAAATAATCTCATAAATTAATGGATAATACTTTTGTTTGCAGTCAGTTTTTTGTAGAAAAGAAATCTGCTTTTCACTTAGTTCCATTTTAGTCTGTCACATTCATATTTTCACACTTTTTTTGTGTGTTTTTTTAATTTCAATCTGTTCTGTTGTTTTAGCACCTGGACTGTTTTGCTGTTGCTCACACCTCTCACTTTGGAGCTTTAGCATTTTATTTTTGAACAAAAATGAGATGAATGGTGCCAAACTTCAGTTCCCCTGCTGGTAAATGCTGGATGTAAATTCCCCTGCAGTTGTATAGGGAGCTCAGTACTTTTTAGACTTGGTACTTTTTTACTCAGGTTCTCTTCTGGTAGCCATTTGTAATTCTATTTGAGATATTATTACATTTATATAAGAATTTTTGTTGGAGCATGTTCAGTGGTGTAGCTAGGAAAGGTGCTACTTGAATTCAAGCTCACTTTTACTATTGTCGTTGGCTTACGGTCCCCATATTATTTGGAAAAATAATATTAAATAAATGAAACAAAATTGCCATTAGTGAATAAAAAATGAATATGTAATGCACTGATTGTAATGTATTATTCAGATATTGTAGCTACTCATCATTAGTGTAAAATGGCAAAGGTAGCAATATAAGGGGTCCAGTAACCATGTTATGAAGTCGGAGCACCACAGTGTCCGTTACTAGACACACATTCCTTTTTTCTAGTGGTGTCAAATAAGAAGTTATCAGATAAATTATTAATGGCACAAATTTTGTTAACACTGTTAACACATTTTTTTTGTTTGATCTATCAGATGATCCATAGTCCCAGCCTGAAGCCCAGCTGTTTTGCGAGTAGTAGCTATGGCTCTGTAGTTCTGTCTTTCAGATGGAGTTTTTCTGCTTCTGCCATACCGTGAATTTATCATTAAAATACTTTGAATCTAAAGTGTCATTTACAAGCAAAACACAGCACTGATGTGGCAATATCAGTAACATTAGCACCAGAGAACGCCTTCGCTAGACTACACTAGACAGTGCTCCCAGGTGATAAATCACTATGGATAAATCACCAACTCACTAACTAGCTAAAAAACAACAACAGAGTGGAAATCTCTAATAAGGCATAACACAGTAGTATGAGAGCAAAAGGGATACAGTTGTGGAGGAGTTGTAACTTGTAGCCACTGATCCATCAGGGATGTTCACATTGCATTCACATGATTTTATTTTCAGGTTTAAGTTCAATTATTTTAGATAATGAATAGATTCTAATGAGGCTTATTTTGTCCACTTGTAGAACTATAAACAACATGCACTGCTTTTTAAATGGAAAACCTTTCTTTAGGGTCAAATTATTCACGATGAACTGCACAAACTAATGCAATCGATCGCAATTATTTATTTTAATTTACTTTTTTATATTCCTGGATCATTTCCTGTTGAAGTGAATTGGCTTTTTTTCGTCATGCTAGCTTTGCTCACGTTCAGTGTGACCGTGGCTTTAGGCTACTTTATCAGAGGGACTTGGTAGATGACAGGCGTTTGTGTGAAGCGCACTGCCTTTGACTTGCCTCCGTAACGGCTAATGGCTCATCTGGAAATGACCAGTTAAGTGACAGGAGCTCTGCAGCTTCTACCACAAGTGAAAGTGCTGACAGAAGTAAGCAGCCCGCAATCAACAGAGAGCTGCTTACTTCTGATTCTACGAAGTGGAGAGTCCTTTCTTGTTTAAAAGTGCAGAACCACCACTAACACAGGAGCACAACCTCAGGCAAAACACTTGAGTGTTTTAGAGTCTTTAAAAAAATACCATATGTTTTTGAAATTCCATCATGGAATCACACATTGAATGGATTTTTTGATGGTGAGGGGAATCTGCCAAGGGGTTTATAGCAATTTATAGCAAATTCATTCCAGCCAGCAGGATCCTTTGTTTGTTTGCTCGAGTGTCTTTGAAACGTCAGAGCTGAAGAAGCTTATTGTTGCATTAGCTCATGCACACCTGGCTGATGTCTCTCTCTCTCTCTCTCCCTCTCACTTTCTCCGTTATGGTGAGCGCAACGTTGCAGAGAGCACAGATCCAGCCAGAAGGGCCGTAATGAGAAGTATAGCAAGTGGGGAATGAAATTACACGGATCACGCAATGCAATAAGGACTCTTTCTCTCTTCGACGGAGTAAACAGGACGCCCGGGGGCTGCCGAGTGAGAGCTCTAGACAGGCGTCCTTCGTCCTTCGCTCTCCCTTTACAAACACACAAACACACACATATGAGGCCTTTCCATAATGACATTTTGCGCATTTCACGACTTCAAGTGCCCAACCAGCCTGCCAGGCAATTACATCTGGCCTGAGAATGGGGCTCGGGAGTGTTCGTCAAAAAAAAGAAAAAATAAGACAACAGAATTCGATTTATTCTCCTCGCCGTTCATTAATGAGATTGGCAGAAATGTCTGTGTAGTTGCTGAGAGGTCGTCAGAAGCGGTGAGGAAGTTTTGCAGGGAGGATGGAGGGGGAGTGGGGAGGAGGGCAGTATGGGAGTGGTTCGTGGGTTGGTGCTAGAACTGGCCCTACGCATCTGCTGCCCTGTTGGCAGGAGAGATTGCCAGGATCTGGCGGCGAGTAGCAGTGCTGAGAGGCAGCGGCTGTATGGAGTCGAGGTTAGCACAGGCAGCCAGGACCCTCAGGACACCGGGGGATCAGCAGGCTGAGTAAAGAGAAGGTATATTTGGGGCTAGAAAGCAAGGAGAGCCAGACCGCCAGACTAGACCCTGCTCACCTCAGCTCTACGTTTGCAGAAATGATCCAGAGCTCACTGTTGGAGGATTTTTTTAATAAGTGAAAACACAGCTGTTGGATAAGTTTAAAACTCCAGGCAAAGCTTTTCTCTCAGTAATAGTAATGCATTTTACTTATATCGTGTACAATATGCTTTACAAGGACACATTCAATACAGAGAAATAAAACAAAATTGAAATAAATGGACAAAGAGAAATAAAAGGAATAAATACAAAATTAAACATTTATTTAATTAATTGTATTTAATGCAGTAACCCACCTTAACTCAGTAGATAATTACTATAACTTGTTACATAACTTACCTATTAGTTTTGGGTACTGAATAATATCTAGTTATTCCCGAATAATAAGCCTTGAAAGGCAATTCATAAGGACTGATAACGATTCCTCTGTGTTTTCCTAGAGGATTAGTCCCTGTAATTCACAAAAGTAGGTTTATCTTGCTTTCTAAAGCCCTTCAAGCAGTTTTCCTGGAGTACTTTCAGGATTCAGTAATGCTTAAGTATTGATAATTATTTTTCTGAATTTCTATATAAAGAGATGTTGAGGTGTAAAAACAGTCTTTAAGAGTGCTGTGATGTAAAATGGTCCATTGACTGCTGGTGCTAAAGTCAACCAGTGGTTACAATGTCTACAATGTTGTCTAGCCATTTTATTTACTACCCAGAACAACAGGTAAATCTACATGTGTCTTCTGAGTTTTTCTATGTAATGCTGATAATGGTAAAATCTGCTAAATCTTATAATGCCCTGCATGTTCTGCCATGAATAGAGGTTAAAAAACAGGCTTTAGGCCATAATCTTATCTCAAAACTATTGTAAAACAATGACTCAGGCATCAGGCACTTTACTTG